TATGCTGGCCTGGGAGTTGAGAACCCTGCTTTTAGTTCCAACTCTGCCATTGACCTGCTGTGTAGCCTTGGGCAAGGGGCTCTCCCTGTTTGGGCTTGAGTTTCCTTATCTGTAGAATGACTCAGTGAAACCTAAAGTCATTTCCACGTGCAGTCAAGCCTTACAGTGTGAAGCTGATTAGTTAATGCAAGATCTTCCCCAGGGTTCCCAGTCGGTCTCACTCTGACTGGTAAGACAGGCTTTCTCCAAGTCACAATGGGCCTTTCTAATCACACAGTCAACACGATGCTTTATATGGCCTCAGGCTTGTGGCTCTACAGGGATGGACCTGGCCAGGGTGACAGGGACCCTTTCTTCCAACTACCCTTTCTTCAGGCAGCTTTGAGATATAAATATCCTGCAATGCAGAATAGGGTCAAGTCCATATGCATTGATTCCACTGTCAATCTTACTTTGACCCTGCAGAAACTCCTACACATTTCTTACACACGGCCCAGACATCACCTCCTCTGGGAAGCCTTCCAGGATCACTTCTTGTCCCCCTATGTAGCCACCGCCAGCAGCACTCCCTCCTCCGCTTCCACCTATTGCAGACTGACCTCCAGCCTGACACTGTCACCCTCATGCACTCTCAGCCCTGTGGATGCCAGGACTGTTTCTTCTTCAACTCTATGTGCCCAGAGTCTGGCATGAGCACCAGAATCTAACAGGGGCTTAGTAAAGTGGTAGAATGGTTGAAAGAACAAACGACCAAATGCTGAATGGAGACTCCTTCGCCCTCGAACTGGAAATCTATGCCGGATGCCCCTTTCTGAGCCTCCCTTTCTTTGTGTGAATATGATTTGATTGTATGGTCCAAGACATCCTTTAGTTTTAATATTCTGTAGTTTTGGCCAGGTGTGGTGGCTCATGCCTATAATCTCAGCACTTTGGGAGGCTGAAGTGGCGAATCATCTGAGGTCAGGAGTTCGAGACCAGCCTGGCTAACATGGTGAAACCCTGTCTCTACTAAAAATACAAAAAATTAGCCAGGCACGGTGGCGTGCACCAATCCCAGCTACTTGGGAGACTGAAGCAGGAGAAGAGCTTAAACCCGGGAGGTGGAGGGTGCAGTGATTGCGCCACTGCACTCCAGCCTGGCGGATAAAGGGAGACTCCATCTCAAAAGAAAAAAAAAAGAAAAAAAATCTTTGATTGAGATTTGTCAGCCTGGGATATCCCTAGCACCTGGTTAATCATCCCTCCTGTCACCCCAGCCATCCCCAAGCACAGACACCAGCTGCCTGGTATTTGGTGTCCCTGGCCTCTTGGGTTTGGTGAGGCCATTGTCACTGTGACTGTATCCTTTATTTCCCAGATGTCAGTGTGTGTATCTGTGTGTGTGTGAGGGGTGGGCAGGTTCCTGGGGAAGCCATCAGCTCTTCATGGAGAGGGACTTCCTTTTCCTTGTGTCTACTTTGGCTCTGTGTCCTGCTCCAGGTGGCCCTCAGAGCAGGACACACCCTAGGCCTTGGGTTGGGCTCTAGAACAAGTGAAGACTGATAGGGGTTGGGAAAGGGAGTGGTCCCAAATGGCTCCAAGGAAACCAGGAGAGACTTCCTGGAGGAGGCAGCATTTGAGATTGGTCTTGAGGGAGTGAGGCCTGGAATGAATGGGGGGCAGGGTATGTAGGTACTTCTTTAGGTACTAGGGAGCCACAGCAGACTTTTTGAACTGAGGAATGACTTGACCAGAGTTGTAGTTTGGAAAGACCCATCTGGCAGCACAATGAGGGTGGGCAGGAGCCAGCCTGGAGGTGGAGGAAACAGCAGTGGGGAGCTGTCGCAGGAGGTTTCAGGGAAAAGCTGTGAGTGATAAGTTCCTTTTTTTTTTTCTCATTGATTTTTTTAAGCAGATCTTGCCTGGCTCCTGCAGGACTGGCTGGCTTAATAACTCCTGAGTTGAGGTTTGACAGGTGGATGCTGAGCTCATCCCCGCTCCTTGTTCTGCAAAGACCCAGCCTATATCAGCAGAAAGCCAGTCAGTGCCAGTGGCTCTGGCATACTGGACAGCTGCCAAGGCCAGGGACTGCCAGGCTGCAGCGTGAGCTTTCTAGACCCTGGATTTCATTTTGACACAAATCCCAGATCGTGATGCTGGGGCTTGGACCTCACACCCATCTCTCTGTTTGTTGTCTCTGAGGAAACAGAATGACTTTATGCTCCTGATGTCATGTTGGCCGTGAGAGGAGGGGCATCTTCAGGAACCCCCTGCCCAGATGGGATCTGTAATTGGACAGCTTTTGCCCAGGAAAAGTCCAAGTCAACCATCAGTTCATCCACAGCTGAAAGAAGAAGCCCTCCTCTACTGTCTTTCAGCCAACAGCTCCCTTGGGACTTTGGGGAGAATTTAGGAAAGGACAGGAGAAGAATTCTAAGGAAAAGAATAATATGATCTCCTGCCCATGGTCAGTGACTTTTAGGAGAAATCACTCCCAGAAAACTTCCCAGAGCCCGTTGGTGACACCCCTATCCAGCAGCCTGATCTTCCAGGCCCTGCCGGCCCCTTTCTTCCTTCTTTTAAAATAACTTATCCCACCAGGTTGCCCACAACTCTGTTTTCACGCAGACGCAGACTTGCTTACTTTTGCTGCCACGGGGAACTGTGCAGGGCACTCTCAGTGTTGCCACATTGGATCTTTTCACAGCCATCTCAGGAAACGGACGAGGAGGCCGAGGCTGGAAGCAGTGAAGTGACTCTCCTGGGGGGCCTGGTGCCCTTAGAGGAGAGCTGGGGTTTGTGACTCGGGGGTGGAGTTCTTCCGGTCCTGTCCCTCCTATTTTTCTCCTTTCTGCTCCAGGGACTAGCGTGGAACTGCTGATCCCCTTTTGTGAAGGAATTGAAATGAGGATTATTTAACAAAGCTAAGGAATTATTTCCAGGGATCACTCTTCTGCCCAGAAGGCTGCCGAAACTTCTCGTTGCTCTGGTGATTGTGGCATCCTCAGCCGGGTCTTTTGGAGCCTCCAGGTAAGGTGTGCCTGGACACGTGCCTGACTTCCTGTCCCACCAGCCATGCCCTGTCATGAAAGTGATCACAGGCCTGTACAAATGCCCCTTCCTCCGTGACACCTTCAGAACCATTACTGACAAAGGGATTTCCTTCTTGAATACCTTTCCTGTGCCACTGAGATGAAGAATGCACTAAGCACACTCACAGCCTTCTGCACGGTCCGTCTGAGGCAGATGGGATGCAGACAAGAGAGGGGGTGCAGAGAGTGAAAATGGTGAGCCAGAGTAGAGCCATCTTTGCTCCAAACACCTCAGGACTCTGTGCCATGCAGCCAGCCCGCTGCCCTGCCTGGACTTCTGTTTCTTGTCCTGCTCCTCAGGCTTTGGGCTTATGACCTGAGTCTCCAACCTGCCCTCCTCCTTACTCGGGCACCTTACAATATACCCCAGCTTCTGTTCTTTCCTCATACGATGTCATTTCATCTTTGCAATAACTGTAGGGTGGTAGATATCCCTAGTCCCATTTAACAGATGGGGAAACTAAGGCTCAGGCAGGCCTTTTGACTTATCTAAGGTGACTTACCCAAAATTGCATAGCCAGAAAGTCAGAACAAGGATTCATTCATATTTCCCGAGTGCCTGATATGTGTTGAACAGAACAGGTTTGTTCCCTGCTATCCTGAAACTGATCCAGAGCCTGGACTTGGACCCTGCAAGGGAGCACAGGGATCCACCCTGAGGCTGGGAGACAAAGGGACCACAGGCCTCCTTTAATGTGACTCTGGCTTCCTCCAGTGAAATGTAGAGGTTCGTGTTTTCTTTCTGTGTCTTGGGCACTCAGTCCATCACATTTTCTGGCATTCAGGGCCACCAGCAGCTTGGGCTGCAATCCAGTGGAGTCATTCTTCCTCCTGTTTCATCTTTAAAATGAGAGCCGAAGGGCTGTTAATCACTTTCGTGAGCTGCAGGATATTATGGCATCCTGATGGGGTCGTAATTTCCCAAACTCCTATCTTCTCTCCACTCCTGCAAATTGATGGGGCAGGGCTATTTGCCTTCAGGGACTGCATGCTGTCATCCCAGTGATGCATCCCTAGTCAGCTCCTGGTTGATTCCCTCTCAAACTTCCAAGTCAGAACCTGTAGGGGCAGGAGCAGGTCCATAGAGGAAGTCAGTCTGGTGCCAGCCATGCCAACAACCTCTGTGCGTGCCAGGATTACTGTGGCCAGAGGCGGAGGATCCTAGAGGAACACACAAGGCTCCCATAGCCAGGCTTTCTGAGGGTTAATGCCTGGAGCAGGGGAAAGAGTGTTGGGAAGACTTGGGAGGGGTTGTCACTGTGGTCCAGAAACTACTCTGCAGCTTTGCCGGAGGTGGGCAGAGAAATGAAGGATCACATCAGCAGTGAGTTTATGATGAGTCACACACCGTGCTAGCCTTTTCCAGATGGCATCTCATTTCGCCTCCATAACGATTGTATGAAGAAGACATTCTTGACTCTGCTTTAGAGACAAGGAAACTGAAACAGAGGCCAAACATCTTGCCCAAGATCACACAGATATTAAGCAGCAGGACCGGGATTTAGACCCTGAGCTGACATTCAGCCCATGATCCTTCCACTGTACTGCTAAGGTGGTCCAGAAGCTTGGGCCTAATTCACAGGTATCAAAGTCCCAAGAGACTGATGTCCAAACTGGAAAGTGGGGTTATTGGTTTATGGAACTGATCTACTTTCTCCAGGACCTAGAATATTCCTGGCCATCATGGTTAAGTCATCCCTTGGTTTTCAGTAGGCACAAAAGCAGAGGAAGCAAAGTTATGCATTCCTGGGAATGATTTCTCTTAAGGCTGCAAAAATGCCTGGTGAATTCTCCCAATCCCCATGCATGAGGGCCCTCTAGTGGGTGGGTGGGAGGCTTTTACCAGCTGCTGGAGGAACATCAATAAATCTTACTTTGGCTTCCTTTTTTTCTTCTTCTATAGATTCCTTCTAGAACTTTGTCCTGGTTATCAACTGCTATATATCAAAATAACCCAAAACTTAGTGACACAACATACCCATCATTGTTGCATGCACAAATTCTGTGGATCAGGAATTTGGGTATGGCACAGAAGATAAGGTTTGTCTCCATGATGTCTGGGCCTCATCCAGGAAGACCCAAAGGGTAGAGGTGACTCAAATGGCTGTGATCTGGAATCATCTGGAAGCTTCTTCACTCATCCATATGGTGCCTGGGCTGGGACACCTATTCAGATCTCCCTGTCTTTCTGTGGGTATCAGGGCCTCCATGTGGTATCACCACATGGTCTCACCAGCACTGTGGCTTCAGCCTTCAGGGTATTTAGGCAATTAATGATGGCTCAGGGGGTCCCGGAGCAAACGTAGCGAAAGACACGTGGTCTTCTCTGAGCCAGCCTGCAAAGTCACATGGTGTCACTTCTGCCCTACTGGATGGAATGAAAGCCAATGCAAGCCCACCCAGATTCCAGGTGAGAGAATGAGAGAACGTGGGCCCTGAATTAGTCTGCTCTCATGCTGCTGTGAAGAAATACCTGAGACTGGGTAATTTGTGAAGAAAAGAGGTTTAATTGACTCATAGTTCTGCATGGCTAGGGAGGCCTCAGGAAACTTACAGTCGTGGCAGAAGGGGAAGCAAACATGTCCTTCTTCACATGGTGACAGGAGAGAGAAGTGCAGAGCGAGAGAGTGAAGGGGGAAAAGCTCCTTAGAAAGCCATCAGATCTCTTGAGAGCTCACTCACTATCATTAAACAGCATGGGGAAACTTCCCCCATGATCTAATCACCTCCCACAAGATTCCCCCCAACCCCCCACCCCCAGGCAACATGTGGGAATTATGATTTGGATTACAATTCAAGATGAGATTTTGGGTGCAGACACAGCCAAACCATATCAGGCCCATCTCCTTAAGGGAGGGATGTCAAAGAATTTGAAGTCATGTTTCAAAACCTCTGCAATTACCTGCATCATTTGCACACTTTCTTCAGAAGAAATACGGCTGGACTTGTTCCTATGTGAATTTCTTTTTCAAGACCCAGTCCACCTTTGCCGAGACGATAGTTAATAAAAAAGTACCAAGGCCGGGCACGATGGCTCATGCCTGTAATCCCAGCACTTTGGGAGGCCGAGGCGGGTGGATCACGAGGTCAAGAGATCGAGACCATCCTGGCCAACATGGTGAAACCCCGTCTCTACTAAAAATACAAAAAATTAGCTGGGCACGGTGGCACATGCCTGTAATCCCAGCTACTCAGGAGGCTGAGGCAGGAGAATTGCCTGAACCCAGGGGGCGGAGGTTGCGGTGAGCCGAGATTGCGCCATTGCACTCCAGCCTGGGTAACAAGAGCGAAACTCCATCTCAAAAAAAAAAAAGGATCAATTATCAGACAGTTACTTTGACCTAGCAACTGTACTAACTACTTCACATGAGGAACATGCTGTGTCTTAGCCCATTCAAGCTCCTCTAACAAAATACCTTAAATTGGGTGGCTCACAAACAATAAAAGTTTGTTTCTCACGGTTCTGAAGGCTGAGAAGTCGAAGATCAAGGTGCCAGCAGATCTGATGTCGGGTGAGGGTCCCACTTTTGGGTTCATAGACAGTTCCTTCTCATGGTGTCCTCACACGGCAGCAGGGGCAGGGCAGCTCTCCAGGGTCCCTTTCATAAAGGCACAAAAAACATTCATGAGGGCTTCACCTCTATGACTTAATCACCTCCCAAAGGTCTCACCTCCTAATGCTGTCACCTTGGGGGTGAGGATTTCAACATAGGTGTTTCTGAGGGACACAAACATTCAGACTATTGCATACACTCATGTTCCCCATTTTACAGGTGGAAGCCAAGTCTTCCAGCAGGTCAATAGTTTGCCCCAGTCACTCAGGAAGGAAACTTAGAGGGAAGAACAATACCCAGAGCTTCTCATCTCCAGAGCCTACACCCTAAACGCCCTGTGCCCTGCCCCACCACGCTGCTGTGAGTCTGCTGCATCTGGTTTTATTGGCAGGACCTGGCTGTTTTTCACGAGTCTTCCACATCACTCAAGCTCCTAAATCTGTTAGAAGTTGGTTCCTCCTATTTTTAGAAGGAAAGCTTATCTCCTCCATATTCTAGGGATACTCTCCTCTAGTGATGGCTACAACTGGTATACATTTGACAGCTTATTAGGTGGTTTCATTGTAAAAATGCCTTATGGGCTGGGTGTGGCGGTTCACGCCTGTAATCCCAGCACTTTGGGAGGTTGAGGAGGGTGGATCATTTGAGGTCAGGAGTTCAAGACCACCCGGGCCAACTTGATGGAACCCCATCTCTACTAAAAATATAAAAATTAGCCAGGTATGATGGCGCGTGCCTGTAATCCCAGTTACTTGGGGGACTGAGGTGGGAGAATTGCTTGAACCCCGGCTGTCAGAGGTTGGAGTGAGCCACAGTTGTGCACCTGTACTCCAGCCTGGATGACAGAGCAAGATTCGATCTCAAAAAGAGAAAAAAAAAAGCATTATGAAGCTGCAGTAATTAAAATTGAGAACTCAAATTTATTTTCAGCTGAGAAATGAATTAACAAACTGTTATATAGCCATACAATGAGATATCACTCAATAATTAAAAAGTATGAAGGAGTGGTACTCACAACACCATGGATGAACCTCAAATGCGATATATTGAGTAAAACAAGCCAGACTCAAAAGCCTATATACCATAAACATACTGTAGGATTCCTTTCATGTAACATTCTGGAAAAAGTAAAACTATAGAGACAGAAAAAATATCAGGACTTAGGGGTAGGGTAGGAGTCAGCTACAAAAGAACTTGATAGACACAGTGAGATAGATATTATTCAGCCATAAAAGGAATGGAATTCTGTCACATGTGACAACATGCATGAGGACATGATGCCGAACAAAATTAGACAGTCACAAAAGATAAATCGTGAATGATCTCATTTACATGAAGGATCTAAAGTAGCCAAATTTATAGAAAAAAAGGAGAGAGACACAAAATAGAAAGCAAAGGATGAAGAGGTAACCCAGAGATCAATAATTGCAAGAAGCAGCTGCCATTCCCGGGTTTGGGGGAAAAATGGAAAACAGACATGGTAGGTCCAGAACTTAGGCACGTGAAGGAGGAGGCTGCCTAAGGCTCGCGCTCAGACCTCCAGGGCATGACACTGCACGACCTGTGCTTGCAGCTCTCAGAGAGCACCTGCAGCAGCACTCAGACGTCTGAGAGGAGGGCACTGAGCTTTGAGGGAGCACCACGGGCCTGGTGCTTGGGGTGCAGGTGGTGTGGCTGCTGCTGGAGGGATGCAGACCTCAGTCAGAAATCAAAAGAGAGTTCCTTCTCCCCTCCTCTCGCCATTCAGTTTCCACCATGGCCTCCCCTTAGCCAACTAGAAGCCATCTAGAAAATGAAGTTCCAGCCCCCTGTGTTATAGAACCGAAAAGGTGGGGGCAGGAGATATGAAGTTGAGAGGTAACAACTGAACTACTGTCCTGAAGGCTTTTGATATGCATTCTTCCATTGTCTTCCAGAAAGTTCTGTCAACTTACACCGACACCAGCAGGGCAGGGAAATGCCCAGTTCCTAAATCTCAACAACACTGAAGATTGATTTCAAACTTTGTTCTCAGTTTAATAGGAAAAATTATACTTTGTCTTGCTTTGCATTTCTTTGATTTTTAGTGATGCTGGATATAGTTCTTATGTTTTTGGCCGTTATATTTACTACTTGTTTTGTGAATTGTTGAAATACAAAATTAAAATAATTAAAATGTCAGATTGTATGTCCCTTGACCATTTTTATTACACGATTTGCCTTTTCTGACCAATTTATAACACTACTTTATGCATTAAGGATATTAATCTTTGTTCTACAACACATGCTGCAAATAATGTTTTCTCTTAGTGATTTGGCATTTTCTTTTATTTATCGTGTTTCTGATGTCAGGCGGCTTAATTTATATGTGGTTAAATTGATTAATTTTTTTCTTCTATGCATTTGCTTTTGGTTTTATACTTAGAAAGCTCTTTCCCAGGCCAAGATTATGTAAATATTTATATGTTCTTTATTCTTCATGGTTTTTACATTTTTAACACAAAGGTTTTTTACATCGTACTCTTTACGTGGAATTTATTTGGGGATAAAATGTAAAGTTAGAAATAATGGAATAGGCTGGACACAGTGGCTCATGCCTGTAATCCCAGCAATTTGGGGGGCCAATGTGGGCTGATTACCTGAGGTCAGGAGTTCCAGATCAGCCTGACCAACATGGAGAAACCCTGTCCTACTAAAAATACAAACAATTAGCTGGACATAGTGGCTCATGCTTGTAATCCCAGCGACTCTAGAAGCTAAGGCAGGAGAATAACTCGAACCCAGAGGCAGAGGTTGCGATGAGCTGAGATCACGCCATTGCACCCCAGCCTGGGCAACGAGAAGAGCAAAACTTCGTCTCAAAAAAAAAAGAAGTAATGGAATAATCAATTATTCATCTATGATTTGTGATGCCATCTCTATCCTCCATTAAACTGATATGGATGGATAGATGGATATAGAGATATAGATATGTGTCTGTGTGTCTATTTCTGCAATATCTCTTTTATTTCATTAGTCTGTATGATCATTGCATTTTATTACATTCTCACAAAAATGCAAACTCTATGAAAGTTGCCTTAGTTCTACTGATGCCTAGAATGGTGTCTGGCACATATAAAGTACTCAAGAAATACACATTATTGCTCGAGTGGACCATTCCTGTACCAGATCATTTCTGGTTCTGCTTTTTAAAAATTCACTTTTATTGAGTATAATGTACATAGAGCAAAACTCTCCTGTCTTAGTGGCAGGTTAAATTTGATGAATACATACAGCTGGAAAACCCCCATAACCAAGACATGAAATAGTCCCATCACCACAAAAAAACTGTCGTGTTTTTCTTTTCAATTACTTTTTTATTATTTTTTAAAAACTGTGATTTTTAAAAAACATACCATTAAATTTCCCGCCTTTTTGATTTTCAAGCCTGCAGTTCAGTAGTGTTAAGAACATTCACGCTGCGGTGCAACAGCTCTCCAGAACCTTCTCATCTTGCAGACCTGAAACTCTAGGTCATTAGAGCACTCCCTTTCTCCCTTACCCCAGCTCCCGGGAAACTGTCATTTTCCTTTCTATAGATTCTGAAACACAGGGGCTGGAACTTCATTTTCTAGATGGCTTCTAGTTGGCTAATGGGAGGCCATGGTGGAAACTGAATGGTGAGAGGAGGGGAGAAGGAACTCTCTTTTGATTTCTGACTGAGGTCTGCATCCCTCCAGCAGCAGCCACACCACCTGCACCCCAAGCACCAGGCCCGTGGTGCTCCCTCAAAGCTCAGTGCCCTCCTCTCAGACGTCTGAGTGCTGCTGCAGGTGCTCTCTGAGAGCTGCAAGCACAGGTCGTGCAGTGTCATGCCCTGGAGGTCTGAGCGCGAGCCTTAGGCAGCCTCCTCCTTCACGTGCCTAAGTTCTGGACCTACCATGTCTGTTTTCCTTTTTTCCCCCAAACCCGGGAATGGCAGCTGCTTCTTGCAATTATTGATCTCTGGGTTACCTCTTCATCCTTTGCTTTCTATTTTGTGTCTCTCTCCTTTTTTTTTTTCTTTTCTTGAGACAGAGTCTCACTCTGTCACCCAGGCTGGAGTGTAGTGGCATGATCTCGGCTCACTGCAGCCCCAGCCTCCCAGGCTCAGGTAATCCTCTCACCTCAGCCTCCTGAGTAGCCCTCTATGAGGGCGCCACCACGCCCAGCTAATTTTTTTTGTGTGTATATTTTTAGTAGAGACGGTGTTTTGCCATGTTGCTCAGGCTGTTCTCAAACTCCTGGACTCAAGCAATTTGCCTGCTGTGGCCTCCCAGAGTTCTGGGATTACAGGTGTGAGCCGACATGCCCGGCTTACGTTGCATCTTCTCTACACCTGCATAGTCAATTCTGTATGTTAAATCCTCTCTGTTTGCAAATACCTCTGATTTTCCTTTTCCTGGCCAAATTCTGGCCAATGATCTGGCCTGTATCTAGAAATTTTACTTCTAGGAACTTATTTCAAGAAAGCAGTCATAGTTGTGTTAAAAAAAAATTGTGACATAATTTATTAGTAGCAAAAATGTCAAACAACCAAAAAAAAAAAAAAAAAACACCCCAAAAGCCTGAAAATAGAAGTTTGGGGTTTATTTGTGTCCTCAAAAAAGATATGTTGAAGTTCTAACCCTCAAGCTTCAGAATGTGAACTTATTTGGAATTAGAGTCACTGCAGATGTAATTACTTCAGATGAGGTCATGCTAGAGTAGTGTAGAACCTTAATCCAACATGACTGGTGTCCTTATAAGAATTGAAGAAGGCTGGCCTGGCACAGTGGCTCACACCTGTCATCCTAGCACTTTGGGAGACCAAGGTGAGCAGATCACTAGGTCGAGAGATCGAGTCTATCCTGGCCAACATGGTGAAACCCTGTCTCTACTAAAAATACAAAAATTAGCTGGGCAAGGTGGCGGGTGCCTGTAATCCCAGCTACTCAGGAGGCTGAGGCAGGAAAATAATTTGAACCAGGGAGACTGAGTTTGCAGTGAGCTGAGATTGATCACTATACTCCAGCCCAGTGGACAGTGCAATACTCAGTCTCAAAAAA